GTTCTCACCTACTTAGTGGTAATACTGTAGGGTCAAAGCTCTCAGTGTGTTGCTGTCAGCACTGGCAGGAAAGATGCTACATAATCTTAGTAAGAGGTACTATTAATAAAGTTTAAAAGTTCATCCCTTCAATAAGCCTCAATTCAGACCAATTACTTTACTAAACCCACATGTGGATGCAGAACTCCCAGGTAGCCACGAGGGTAACTGTGATACCCGTCCCACCCACGTTCCCCAAGGAGCCGTCAGTGTCCCAAACACTGTGAGCACAGCCAGGAGCTCACCATGTCTTTCTCAAGAAGTCAACCATCAAGACAAGTAAGTGGCTGAAAGAAAGGTAACTTCTAGTTCTTTCTGTCTCCCAGGAACAAAACTCCTTGATCTAAGGAGATTTAAGTTTGACTCAAGTTTAGCAAGTTTAATGCCATTTGCTTCTGATGAGCAAGCTGGTTCCCAGTGAAATACATGAGGACAGTCTATTCAGGACAGGTCCAACCCACTCCCATACAGAACTGCCGGGACACTGCCGACACTCTGCTGTGCCGTCGACCATGGCCATGGGCCGTTGCAGGGATCAGTGCTACACTGAGGCCAAAGAATGAATGCTGCACTTAGCATTCATTCAAAGACAAGTAGTGCACTGAACTGTCTGTATGTATAGGGTTTTAAGTTTCTGCTTCCTAAACAATGTTAAGTTACACATTACCATATTTCTAGGACTGCAAGATGCACTGGACCGTAAGACGCACCTAGGTTTTAGAGGAGGAAAACAGAAAAAAGAATCTTGAAGCAAATAATGAGGTAAAATATTTAATAACATAAATAACTTAGTCCCCACCCACAGTGAGCCAGGTAAGCTGTATTCAGAATATAAGACACATCCCCATTTTCCTCCCAAATGCGGGGGGGTGGGGGTGGGGGGGGTGGCGTCTTATAGTCTGAAAAATACGGTAACTTAAGGGGTGAACTCATGATTCTACATATGCTTTCCCTATACAAAAGACAGTATCCCCAAACTGTGTCCCACCTACAGTACCCACATTCCTATCTTCTCCCCAAGGTAGTACCCAGCCACACCAGTCCATGGGTATATCCTGCCTGATAGCCACACTGACTGACAGCACAACCTGAGACTTCTTGAAGGCCATCGGTTTAGTCTCAGAACACAGCAAAGGTAAACGTGTCCACAGCTGGTTTAAATCTTAGCCCCTCAGCTCCAAAGGCTGGCTAATGGTCATTCTCATTGGAGAGCATCACACGGTGGTACGAGGGATGAGAGACGTGCTAGGATGTGGAGAGGGACTGAAGAGGCTTGGACAAGGACCAACAAACAGAAGACGCACTATTTACCATGGATGCGATCTGGGGAGGGAGAGGAGAGGGAAGCACAGACCCCTGAAAGTGACTCCCTGGAAGCTCCCTCTAGGTCAGGCAACAAGTGGGGCCTCAGAGAGGGGACGGAAAGGAAAGCATGAGGCCTTGGAAGGAGTAGGGTGGACAGAAAGAGCAATGGTGCAAAGCACATGTATCACGGGCTTATAAAAACCCTTCACTCTTCCAGAAAGGCCCCCCACCTGGCCAGGAGTGTCCTCCCGTCTCACCACAGCCAGTGCCACAGCACCACGCCAGCAGTCTTTCTCAGGACACCGAACCCAGTGCGGCATGGTGCCTTCCAGGAGACTGACAAGGTCATGCGAGTCTGTGTTCTCTTCTCTTCTGTCACATCCTTAACTTTGACATCAGCCAATGAAATGCCCAAGATCAACTGGAACCCCCCATAAACAATCTTGTATCATCCTAGGCTGCACTCCAAAGCTGATTATTTTTTCCTTTGGATGGTAGGTATTTTAATTATTACCTTCCTAGGTGAAGTCAGCATCCAAGTTTGATTCCTCATCTAAGTGAACCACCCAAAGTCAGAGTCAGCACCCTGAGTAACCTGGCAAAGACTAGATAGTTCTCATCCAAAAATGAATGACCTCTATACAGCAAGCCTAGGTATTGTGATTCTGCTCCCATTTAATTGATTTACTGATCATCTTAAAACAAACAAACAAACAATCTCACCGAGTGGTTTACACATGACTGCAGATGCCTCTTCTGAAGTCATGAGCCAAGAGCCTTCAACAACTTGACACCACGACTTCTCTTGGACCAGTTTCCTAGCAAAAATACCCAGTGACTTTGGCCATCATTATTTTGGCCAACCCAGGGCCAGACAGTTCACTCTTCTCCACTCTATTTTTTAAGTAAAAAAAGGTGAAATGATGAAATCAATTGTCTAAATACAAGCACCAATCTCTGTATAATATCGTGCATTTACAACACCTTCTAAACAATAACAAAGCTTTTATAGGAGGCAAGGTAACTAAGAGCACCATTCCCAACACTAGGGAATGATCCCAGGCTTTGAGGAGGGAAGTGGCTAGCCCGTGGTCAATACTGGGGGCAGGCGGAGGTGGCTGAGGTTGCAGGGATCAATCAAAGAAGGACCAGCTAAGGAAAAGCATCACAGCATGACCTTGGGTACCAGAGGCATCTGCGCACAGAAAGCCTCAGATCTGACCCCTACCAACCAGCCTCTTCTACCTTACCTTCTGACCCCAACAAATGCCCTGCCCATCCTTCTAGAACTACTGGGGCACCCCAAGGAGCCCAGACAGCTCAGCCCTGACGTGCGACTTCCCCTACTTGACATGCTCCCCACCCGTTTCTTCTTTTAGCTGCTTCCATCTGACCTTTAAATTTGGCTCAAATAACACCTCTTTGAGGAGCTGACCTCCTTATTGCTCTCAGAGCTCTCTGGATTACCTTACATCACTGCACCATCCTGGCTGATTCCGTCTTTTGGCCCCTTCCCTGGACCTAAGCTCTAGGATGGAGGGTTGAGGGACAATCAGGGCATACATGTGATGGGACTCACCTTCTGTTGGTACTTGACACATGGAGCAGGCACTCAGTAAATGTCTGTGGGTGGCATGAGTGAACATGTAGCCACGCCAGGCTTCCCTCCACATTCCCTTCAGCTGCCTGGGTTCCCTTCCCAGCCTGTCTCCTCTAGGCCAGGAGAACATCACGTAAGCCAAAAGCATGGAATTATGATGTATGCTAAGTTTTGTGGTAGATTTTGTTTGTTTTTGCTTTATTTTAATTTTAAAGGGAAAACCTCTGGTTCCCTATACATTGGGAGTCACTCTGAATTGCTCTCCTAGGGGGCAAAGTGACAGCTACCATCACAGAGTACTTCCCAGGGGTCAGACAGCGTGCTTGTCAGGAGAATGAGTGAGTTCCGAAGTCAGGGTTCAAATGTGCCCTTTGCCAACTGGGTATGTGGCCAGCACCAGGTCCACCAATACCTCCTGAACTCCTTACATGGGCAAGTACTAGGGACAGACCGGGGCCTGGCCCTTCCGTCTGTGGTCCACGCTCATCACGTCAGCCTATTCTCTCCCTCACAGTACAGAGCACTGTCAGAAAGAGTCTCGCCTGCCATGTGTGTCCCCTCGTTTAAACAGTAAGCTCTGTGACAGCAGAAACCAAATCTGTCTGGTCCACTGCTGCCACTCCAGTGCCTCAGCACACATGAAAAGAAGAAATGAGTAAGTCGGGCAAGGTCCCCGTGGTCCCATGGTGCTTGTATTCTGCTGGAGAAGGAAGGCAGGGCAGGGTGGGGGCGGAGAAACATGGAAACTATCATGCAGGAGTTTGAACAACAGGAGTGTCCGAGCTGCAGCCCACCAAAGGCAGCTCAGGATGACTATGAATGAGACCCAACACAAAATCGTAAATTTGCTTAAAACATTAGGAGATTCTTCTGTAGTCACTCGCGTGTGCAATGTATTTAATGTCTGGCCCAAGCCAACTCTTCTCCCAGTGTGGCACAGGACACGGAAAGGTTAGACACCCGCTACAGCGAGGGTGTCAAACTCATTTTCACTGGGGGCCACATCAGCTTCGCGGTTGCCTTCACAGGGCCAAATGTAATTTTAGGACTGTGTAAATGCAACTACTCCTTAACTAGGGAAAGGAGCTCAGAGCTGCGGCTGGGTAGAAACAAGGTGCCAGCGGGATAAAACAAGGTGGAGGGCCAGGTTCGGCCTCGGGCCTTGTGTTTGCCACCAGTGTCCGACGGGTTCCCATTGGGAGGGGCCCCGGCTTGCCACAAACGTTGGCCGCACATTAGGCTTCCTCTGGCTTCTGCTCCAGGCAGCTCTCGGGAGGAAAGGCATCTCCCGCCCTGGCAGCTTCCCAGGACTTGCTATGTCCATGTATGTCATGGGCAACAGGCTGAGGAGACGACACAAGGAAAGAGGGGCCACGTCCCATCAGACTCCCGCGGAGGGTCCTTTCCTTCAGGAGTGGCCCAGATACCTGCTCGGCTCTCTGGGCATTTAGCAGAGAAAAGACCAGATCCTGTCCTCATGGAGTTTCCCTTCTAGTGTAGAAATGCAATACACAGGGGGTAAAACGGTCTTTTGGGGGTAGTGGGAAGTGCGTGCTGACCACAGAACCACGAGCTAACTGGGGACGACTGCACGTGTCCAGGTTGGGTGGCCCGTTGTGAGCAGGCCCCTCCAGGAGGGAGGTGACAGCTGACCTAAGATCCCAAGAGGTCAACCCCGCTGAGAGCAGTGAAGAACCTCGCAGGCAAAGATTGTCACCAAGGCTCATACTCAACGAAAGAAATCTCACAAACTCGACAGTAAGTTAAAATGGCAACTGTGCCAAGTGGCTGGAGAGCCAGGCGCACACGGGAAGGCTCTGGGGAGGAGGAGTGGCACAGCCTCCCGCACCCAGGCACCCGGACGCCTGGCTTTCGGGTGCAAGCAGACCTCACCACTTCGTGGGGCGGGGAGCCCGCGCCGTCGGGTGGGGGCGGGGGCCGCGGGCCTGGCGGGATCCGACGTCACCACAGCGCCGCCGATCCCTCTGGAGCGCAGGAGGGGGCGCGGAGTGGCAGGGCCTGGCACGCGGCCGAAGACGGCCGGCCTCCAGCTTACCTCGGAATTTGAGCTCGTGCTGTGGCTCGAGGCTCAGGACCTGCTCCACCTTCGCCATGTTCCTCAGCGGCGGGGCACCTCTGGCGGGGAGACCCCTGAGAGGTCACCTGAGGCGGGAGGAGTTAATGCTGCGCCCCCTTTAAATTTGGGAAAGGGGGGCCGGCTGGGGGTCGGGCGGGGGTCGCTGCGGGGTGCGCGCGGTGGGGGGGGTGGCCTACGCGGTGCAAGCGCAGGGGCGGAGGGCGAGGGCGAGGCCGCGGTGCCCGGCGAGCGCACGGCACGCACGCAACGACGCACACAGCGACGCACGCACGCACGCATGCACGCAGCAGTCTGGCTGGCTAGGACCAAAGCGCAGTCCGGCGGCGGGAAGCTGCGCTCCCGGAACTGCACTTGGGGCAGTGCGCAAGCGCAACGTTGCCCTCGGGGGCGGGGCTGGAAGGGGCGGGGCGTCGCGCTGGACTAGAGGAGGGGCGTGCCCAGGAAAGAGGGCAGCCTCCTTGAAGATTGTTTTTCCAGTGCCTGTGGGATTCGTCAGTTGTGTTAAGTGCTTTATATAATAATAATAATTAATAATAATGAACTTCCCGTTTTCCCCTGCTTATGTAGTGCCAGGCACTGTTAGAGACTTTGAATAATAATGAAAATACTATTTATTCTCATTATAAATACGGGTAAACTATGCGTTCTAGGCACCGTGAAGTTTGAATAGCAGTAAGTATAAATAGTTGCCAATTATTGCTTGTTTATCTTGTGCCACTCTGGTGAACGCTTTCAATAACAACAGCAATAGCTAAAATAAAAGCTATGCTACATTACACGTTGACTATGTAACCAGCGGTGTGCTGAATGAAACCTTTACTAATAGATGCAACAAATATTTAGAAATTCAATGATCAGAAAAACTGACCTGCTTCCTGCCCTCTCACAAGAGTTTATTGGAGAAACAGCCTTTGAATCAATAACCACACAAATAAGTTATGTGATTAAAAATGACTGGGAACCCAGTTCTTCTTGGCCTCAAAAATGAATGCTACCTCATTACTGTCATCTGAATTGTACTTCATTATATAATGTTTACTACAGAAAATGTGTGGTAATAGTCTGCTATATATAATAGATGAAACAAACACAGCAAATAGTTAACAATGTTCACTCTGTAGGGTGGACACATGTTCTTTGAACTATTCTTCCCACTTTTCTGTATATTTGAAATTTTTCATAATAAAAAGTGGTTGTTTTAAGACAGTCTTTGTCTTTTAACTAGATCCTTTGGTCCATTTATACTTATTATATTTACTGACATAACTGAATTTATTTCTACCATCTAATTTTGTGCTTCCTATTTGTCATGCCTATTTTCCCACTCCTTTCTTCTTTAGGGCTGACTTTTTTCATTCCATCTTTCGTTTCTACATACACTCTACTTCTGTTATTGTAGTGATTACCCTAGACATTTTGCCATGGGTACTTACATAATCTGGTTTTTAAAATACCTTGACTTGGTTTTCTCAAAATATAAGGACGGGATACTTTTTAAAAAAGATTTTATTTATTTATCTTTAGAGGGGAAGGGAAGGAGAGAAGGAGAGAAACATCAATGTGTGGTTGCCCCTCGTGTGTTTCTTGCTGGGAACTGGCCCGCGACCCAGGCATGTGCCCTGACTGGGAATTGAACCTCGATCCTTTGGTTCACAGGCCTACACTCAATCCACTGAGCTACGCCAGCCAGGGCAGGACAGGATACTTTAATCACCCATCCTCTCAATTATATGCTTTAATCATAGTGTATCGTAGGTTTAATCTTTTCCTCTTTCACCCTATGAGTTATTACTAAGTTGTTTTAGACAGTCGATGTTAGTTTAGACTCAAACATACAATTGCCAGTTTCTCTGCTTATCTTTTCTTGAATCTCAGACCTCGCAGCTGGGATCACTTTACATTCTATTTCAGCGAGGACTTATTGGGACAGTTCATGCAACGACAATAAATAACATCTGATTGGGTTATGACCCAAAGTAGAAAATAAACATCCATGAGTGCATACTGATATAAATAAATGACTGAGTAAATAAGTAGACTAGAAAAGTCAGAAAAAATTCCAAATACTTTGTATTAGCTGTTCTTCCCTCACTCCCCACGCCTTCAATGAGAACTGTGCTTAGTGACATTCTTTCAAAGAGCACAATATGAGAAGCCGAAAAAGAACAACTCCTTAAGGGACACCTGGCAAACAGCACCTCAGCTGGGTGACCACACTCGGGTCAAGGATGCGGGCCTCGCTATGAAATGATGAGAAGGGCACTTGGTCTCTGGGGTCTTTCCCCCCAGAAAGACCCACAATCCCACTCTAATTATGAGAAAAACATCACAAAAACCTGAACCGAAGGATGTCCTAGCACAGAGCTGAGCAGGACTCCTCAGAATGTCAAGGTCATCAAAAATAAGGAAAGTCTGAGAAACTCACAGCCCAGAGGGCCGAAGACTAGATGTCATGGGGTGTCCTGAATGGGGTCTGGGAACAGAAGAAGGGCATCATGGGGAATACCAAGAAAATCTGCATAAAATACAGACTTCAGTTAAAAATGGCATACCACTGCGTGAACGGTGGCTCGTCGGTTGTAGCAAATGTACTCGTCCGTGTGAGATGTTGACAGCGGGGGAGGCTGGGTGCTAGGCATGCGCAAACTCTGTGACTTTTGTGTGACTCCCAAACTATTCTCAATTAAAAGTTTATTTTAAATATTCATATTGGCTTTTCGGCTTCCTGTATTGGCGTTCTCTGCAGCGCGAGCCGTGACCGTCGCTCTCTGGCCCTCAGATCCTTTGATAACCAGGTGCGATGAGGAACCACGGTGAGGAAAGGGATGGCTCTGTGGCATTTGTGTCCTCGTCGCGCTCCACTTCTAGCTCTGGAAATGCCACCACCCCCGGCCGTCCAAATGCCACCGGTCCTTCACCACCTCACTCACACATTCTTGCGTTCATTTGCCCGTCTAAGCAGATACCGCTGCCCGAGCTACCTGCACTGGGGTGCATTTAGCCTGAGCTACAAAGAGCCTCACTCTCTAGTGAGCAGAGTTGAAAAAAAAAACAAACCCAAATAACTACAATCTGTGATAAATGCTGAAATAGACAAGAAGAAAGTTATGGAGAGACAATGAACTTGACTCTTGGGGACGGGAGAAAGCCTAAAAGCTCAGAGGTATTAGAGAATAATAGTTTTGGAAAAATAGTAAGAAGGATCTGGCCAGACATTAAAGAGGGAAGGGTTCTCCCAGTGGAGGAACAGCATGTGGAAAGGCAAGGAGTGAGAATAGTTTCTCAAACTCGCTTAGCTTCTGCTCTGTATTAGGCAGTGTATTAGAGTATGTGTCAGTTTCCCATGGTGCTGTAACAAGTTACCACAATATTCGTTAAACTAACAGTTCTGGGGGTAGAAGTCTGAAATTGGGTCATGCGAACCTAAGATCTGTCTGCGCTCTGGCTGGAGGCTCCTCGTCCCTTCCCGCTTTGGGAGGGTGGTCGTGTTCTCGGACTCCTGGCACCGTCCTCCATCTTCCAAGCCAGCATCGTGTCTTTGTCCGTCTTCTCTCTGGGACCTCTGTCGTCACCCCACTGAGCGGGGGCCTGTGGGCCAGACACAGCACCAAGTCCTTCGTTCCCACAAGCTTTTCAATCCTCACAACGTCAAGATGAATCATTTATCCCCACTGTAAAAACTTTTTCTTTAATTTTAAAAAGTGTATTGATTTTAGAGAGAGTATGAGAGAGAGAGAAACATTGATTTGTTGTTCCACTCACTTATGTATTCATTGGTAGATTCTCGAATGTGCCCTGACCAGGGATTGAACCTGCAACCTTGGTGTATCAGGACGACGTTCTAACCGACTGAGCCACCCGGCCAGGGCTTATGCCCACTTTAAAGATGAAGAGGCCCTGAGAAGCATAGCCAGCAAGGGCCAGGGGGGAAGGGCTTTCCGTTATGCTACAGAGCCTAGATTTTATCCTTGGATGTCCTTGGCTGTCCCAGTGTTTCTATACACAGAGTAACATAGCCAGCTCTATTGCTTTTTTAATTCATTTTTTGTTTTTAAATTTAAAAACTGTATTTCTACATAGACTATTTTGCACCATTTTAAGATTTACAGCGAAGTGGCAGAGGTTGGACGGAGCTCCATCTGGCCGCTCACCCAGTTTCCCCAAGGTGGTCGTTTCACTTCATTTTCTCGTGACCGTGGGGGCAACCCCGGAACATTATCATTAAGTAAAACTGCAGACTGTTCTGCATGTCACCGTTTTTTCCACGATGCCCTTTTCCTGCTCCAGGATGCAGTCCAGGACACCACATTGCATTCTGCATACTTAGCAAACTCATTTTTCACAGCAATTCTCTGAAAGCAGACTGGAGGGCGGACTGGTAACCGCAGCCGAGCCCCCAGTGACCAAGTGCCATGTGCCGGGCACTGTTCTCACGGGCTCGTGGGTGTCACTCATACATTCTCATCACGGCGAGGCGAGAACATTATCATCTCTGGTTTACAGAGGAGGAAAGGAGTGCAGGGAGGTTTAGAAACCTGCCTAAGGCCCTAGCCAGCTAGCTAGTTAGCTAGAGCGTCGTTTCAAAATGCCAAGTTTATGGGTTTGATCCCTGGTCAGGGCACATACAAGAACCAACCAATGATGCATCAATAAGTGGAACAACAAATGGATGTTTCTCTCTCTCTCCCCCTCCCCCTTCCTGTCTCTAAAATCAGTAAATAAGAAAAATAAAAAAGAAAGAAACTTGCCTAAGGGGAACTAGAGATGGGGCAGTGAGATGAAATAGAACATAGGGGCAGGGGAGGGGCACATTTCTCAGAAGTAGGGGCCATGGTGGGGGCCATGGTGGGGGCATGAGGGTATAAAGACACCCTGGAGAGTCCCAGTGGCCCTGCCACAGGCCCTTTGCACTCACTGTTCCCTCTCCTACAGCGCCCTTCCCTCGGCTGCCTTTACATTGCTTCCGTCACTGGACAACTTGGATGCCTGTGCATGTCAGGCACAGTGCTGGGTGCTGGGGGAGGGGGGTGTGGGGCGGGGCACGCAAGGTACTTCTGCATATGTGGAAATTAACCTCAGGAAGGGAGTTCTATGAAAAGGTGATTGAGGATGATGCAAACGAGTGGGGCTGGACGCTGTCCTGGAAGGTCCGGGCGCTGCCGTCCAGCCCCAGCCTCTGCGTCCATCACAATCGCCTTCCCAGTGCATGGCCAAGGTGGAACTAC